TGTTAGTTGTACAGTTCTCCAGGATTAAAAAATAAGGTAATGTTTTGCTAGTTCTCAAGTGAACAGGTGAATGATTAAGGATAAGTGCAATCTACACTGCAGGGAGGAGATCTTATATCTTTCCCAATCCTCCTCAAAAGAATTTTCTTAATATCTGTGCAAACTTTAGACATAATTCCATTAACAGCAGTGAAGTGAACTTCAGCTGCAAATAACATGTGCTGATCCTTTGTATTGCAATGAAACATCCACGTGTATTCTTCCATGAATTGATAGAGACCCAGTTGACTCAGTAACATAAATATGGCAAATACAATACAACCCAGCATATACATACTTTAAAGAACCAACAGCCAGCTGAGATTCTCAATATAAGGCATATTAACAAGCTTTTGTGTCGGGAAGGAGGAGGAAAAAAGGGAAACTGAATTGAGAAAGACAGCAAAAGGGAAAAAGAAGAAAGTGGAGAGAAGAAGAATAGATCAGAGACAAGACAAAAGAAAGGAAGTAATAGCAAGAAGGAGGGCCAAAGGATATGTGAAATGGACCATGTTTGGAATTTCAGTGAACTTCAATACCCAGGAGTAGGTCCCCCTCGATCCAGGTTGTAAACTTGTCTGGGGTTGAGTAGATAATGGAATTTCCGATGTACCCTAAAAGTATGAAAAATAAGAGTTGTCACCTGTAAAAAAGAGACTCAAGGCAGATTATTATTTTTACTGTCAATCAGCTTTCTTTACTCTCTCTGCCCTCACTCCCTCTGCCTCTCTTTGCAGCACCTAAAGCATTGCAAATGCTGTTTGCCAAGAGCAGAAACCTCTTTGATTGCCACTATATTATTTTCCAAAGTCAAGTGAAACCTTCCCTAATGTTTTAAGTACAGATATAAGGTGAGATTCTGGAAGCCCTTAGCAACATATTCAAAATATTCAGAAAATGAGGACTGAACTACATAAAAGGAATTGACATGTAGTTTTGTCCTGTTATAGCTCATGTTTCTTTACCACACAGAATGCACCTGAAATGAAGTGTCGTGGATGGGCTGAGATTTTTGGCATCTCCTTGTCCCCATCACATCTAGATCAGAATCTCAATGATTACCAGTTACAAAGGGTCAAAGTTCCCATTTGTGCCAATGGGAACTTTGTTCCTATTATGGAATGTAGATGCATCCTTCTCTTTGTGGCAGGACAAAATATGAAAATAAACTCTTTTATCAGCGTCTCCGGGCCTTTCTCCATGGCTGAGTTGAAGTGCTCTCCGCTATGACTTGAATCAGCAGAAAACTAAATTGGCATGACAATCCCTACTTTGCCTCTATATGCCTCCTTTCCCAGTCACCACTATCATCTGACTTACCTTCAAGGTGACAAAACCTAAAAGGCTGTCCTTGGGGGAAGTTTGAATAAGAGAGAGAAAAAAAATACTACAATAGTGCTGGTATCGCTTTGGACAACTTAAATCTGTCTAATTCAACTGCTGGGACAAGATGGCAATGTCATAAGGAAATTGCAGGGGGAAATTCACTTATTAATTGGATTTATATCCCATTTTTCTGCAGGAGCTCAAGGTGGCATACATAATATTCCTGCCTCCATTTCTTCCTTTCCTAGTAGCAGCAACATGGGCAGATAGGGTGGGCTAAGAGAGAACAAATGGGCCAGAGTCACTCAATGAGCTCTTCTGGCTGAGAGTGGACTTGAATCTGGGTATTCCTACTGTTAGTCCATCACCTAACCAGTCCATCATACTGGCCTGGGAATCTTTGTGCTTGGGAGGTGCAAATGGAGAAAAGCTCTTATATCCCATACCAGCTATTTTGGAGTGAAAGAGCTGTTCAGGAACACTACATGATAAATAATTTATCTTCTTCAGACCTCAGGATGCCTTGGAATGGATCATTATCACATAAGAAGTCCTCTCCATGTTCTTGCTTTATTTGCTTCATAAATAAATTATAGTCATCCTTACTAAGTAAAGGACTGGTGACTTCACAGGCACTAACAGGCATTTCAAAGAACACAAGGAAACCTGCCTTAGAACGGGTAAGTCATTGTCACCCACATTAATACAATCTAAACCAGAGGTACAGACTTTGTGGCCCAACTTTCTGACAATTTTCTCCTTCATCAGAAGATAGAAGGCACAAGGAGATCAGCCACCCTTGATTTGATCATACTGAACAGTGAAGACTTAGTAGATAAGGCAGAAGTCATAGAAACTATGTGGAAAGAGTACCATATAATGAAAATTAAAATAAATCTGAATGCAGCCATACATTGAACTTCATTAACTCAACATTTTTGGTAAGACAAACTCTGTCCAACATGGTCCTTCCAGAAAATTCCTGCCTTGTTATTCCTGCCTTGTTTTACTGACCGCTTTTTTTTTTCCAAATAGTGGAGGAAAGCACAAGAGCATCAGTGATACTTAATCTGAAACTAACTACAAGAATTTAGTTGAGAAAGTGGAAGTAAGCAAGAGCATTGGGAGAAAGTGAAATGTAATGGAGGCACTCTTGATTTTAATGGAAACTAAAGTGAATTTTAATAAACCCAGAGCAATGAAAAGTAGGTTTCTATGGCAGGAAAAGCTGAAGAGAAAATTATTCCAAGATTGGGTGGGAATTCCTAAAATAGGAGGCACTGAAAGCAGAATTCCCACCCCCAAAATAGTTAAAAAGGAAAAATATAAGGAAGGCAGCAAAAGAAGCTGATCTGCACAAACAAACCAGAAGCAACTCTTAGTGAAATTCTGAAAATAAAAGAACCACATAAAGGGAAAAAGGGGGACAGCCACCAAGGAAAAATACATGCTGGTAACTCTGATTTATAGAGATGGCATCAGAAAAGCTAAGATCAGATTCAGCTGAGGTTAGGAAAGGAGACTATGAAGACTTAGGAGAAGAGGCTGAGGGAAGTGGGCTTGAGATACTTGAGAAAAGATGAATGGGGAGAGCATGATAGTGCTTTCAGCTGTACAGAAGGAAGTTGTACAGAAGGAAGCGAAGATTTGTTTTCTGGCAAAGTGTACAATAGGAAAACATAGAAAACAGCTTCCACTTGAGTGTTAGGAAAAGCTTTGTAACAGGAAGGGCAGATTGACAATGGAATCAATTAGCAAGGAAGATAACATGCTCCCCTTTGCTAGATTTCTTCAGGTAGTGCTCGGCAGCCACCTATTTTGATTACTTCCATTTTCATTTGAGCAAGGGATTGCACTCAATAGCTCCTTCCAATTCTACACTTCTATAGTTCCAGATGATGTTGAACTACAACTTCCAGGAATCTCAACCAGTATGGCCAATGGAGAGGAGTACTAGGAGCTATAGAGTAGGACCATCTAGAGGGCCATCAATTCTTTACCTACATTCTGCACTGACTGGCAACAGCTCTCTAGAGTTCCAGGCTGGAGTCTGTCTTATCACTATCTGAAGATGCAAGGTATATAACCTGGAACCTTCTGTATTCAAAGCTGACATTCTGGTGTTGAGCTATAGCAGTTTCCTGCCTCAGGACATTCTCAGAAGCTTATGCTACACTTGTAAGAGCAATTATAAAATTACTTGGAATCACAACTGTATTTCATAAGCAACAAACATTACAACTTGAACTTAAGGGGAAATTTGCTATAAAAACATTTGCTTGAAGGAGATTTGTTTCTCTACAACAATTTAATGGTGCATTTACTGCATCAAAACTTGAATCTTGGGAATGCACAATTTTCTAAAAGAAGGGGGAAACATACCTTTCTCCTTGCCTTCCTCCACTCTTGGGGTTCACAAATACCAACAATGGGTGTGTTCCTGGCTTAGGTGTAATCTGAAAACCAAAGTGGATATCAAGCAAGCAGACTCCTTGCCCAACATACAAAACATCATTCATGCAGAAGGGGGAGAAATAAGTCATGCGGCAGAGCTACAGGTGAAGCAAAACAAGTCACTAGAAAACTGTTGGGTATGCAGGGTTTAGTGCCATGGAGAAACATTGGGATCCCTCAACCTGTGCTATTGTTTGTACCTTTTCTGCAGATTGTCTTGCCACTGTGCCACAAATTGTGTGTTGGACCCAGAATAATAAATGGATGTCTTTACTTAGGAGGCCTATGACCTCCTGTACTTTTTAAATAAACATCAGGGAACTGAATTCTTAAGGATGTGACAAATATTAGCCTAACCAAACATTTGCAAGCATTGATTCTATGTCATAATAATCTTTTTCAAAGAGAAGAGGGGATGAATTCTAAATTAGGGGAAATTCTATGGGGATGGATGTTCTGCTATTAACATATGCACAGTTTAACATAGCTATCATTCCTGGACTGGGGCAATACCTTCCATTAGGCAGAGTGAGGCACATGCCTCAGAAAACAGATGCTGGAAGGTGGCAACAAGATGTTAGAGAAAAAGCAATATGGAATGTTGGTTTCCTTGTATCCCTTAAGCCAGTGTTTCCCAGCCTCAACAACTTTAAGATCCATGGACTTCAAATCCCAGAATTCCCCAGTCAGCATGCTGGGTGGAGAATCCTGGGAGTTGAAATCCACACATCTTAAAGATGCTGTGGTTAAGAAATAAGGCCTTAAACTATCAAATTGCCTTCAGGAATGCAAAGAATACTGTGCCAGAGTTAATATGAAGAAAGATCAACTGCCAGTCCATTTGACTTTGTATGTGGAATTGGAGAAGAGGATGATGGGTTGTTATTTTTTTCTGGCCATAAAATGCCTTGGGACCATCTAGTTTCAGACTGATTTTATAAGCAGCCTAAAGGACTAGTACCTATTGTCACTGTTTTTCTGGTATATCTTTTTCCAAAAGTGATCCACTATTTGGTTGCAATGGTGGAAACGCATCTCCGTAGGTACACACAACTATATCTGTACATGGGAGAAAAGAAGCTGTCAGCTGCTTACCTGCAGTCCATGTCCGTCCACTGTGGTGGTGTTGTATCTGAAGGTCATGTTTGTATCCTCAGGGGTGGTGCTGGATGGTGATTCACTGTCTGATCTTCGGGAGTGGGATTGCCTATCCTTTGGAAGAGGGAAAGATGCACACAGACATTTAAATATAGATAGCAAAGAAGTACTAGTTACATAAACAGAGAGAAAATGGTGGAATTCTAAGTATAAAAATATATAATAAGATCACCAGTGACTAAGGATATTGCATAACACAGGAGTACTAAAATGCTGTCTATTAAACAGTGCAAAACTTATCACTTGGTAAAGGACTACATGCATTTTATAAAGTACAAATGATCTTGGATAACCTAGCAATTTTGCTACAAATCATAATTAAGTCCTGAAAACATCACCCCAAAAGTAGCTTCTGTATAGCAATAGCCACAAAATTCCCACAAATAAGATATTAATTGAGGCATGATGCCTCCGATCTTGGAGATAGCATAAAGCCATCATGATTAGTAGCTATTGAAAGACTTCCATTGCCTTATCCAATGTTTTAATTCATTTTCTTTATAGCATGCATCATTCTGTATGTCATGTTTCCTTTTACTGGACTTTTTCCTAATCTTTCCAATGAAGAGAATTGCTTCAATCCTTCATTCATTTTGATTTTCCTTTTCTTAACATTCGTGTGACTCTCTTTCTCCAGTACATAGAGAGAATATCCAAGAAGTGTTGTGGGCCATGTTAGCCTTATTTTACACCTATATACCCTCTGCTTCAGAGGAAACATTTCCCTGTTTTTTGTATGACCTGCAAAAAATGTTCAGTATTGATTTATATATGTAGGGTCCCTCCACATAAGGTGGCACTCTTTGTGAAAAATCTTCTTGAATGTATTCTGCATGGTTTGATACATCCATGAATTTTCCCATTTTTTAAATATATTTAAGTTCTGATATATGCCATTTGACATGTAATAACTTTTATTTAAAGCATTTAAGAGTTTTGATTTTAAATAAAAGTCAGATACATTATACAGAGAGAAGACTCTATGTCAAAAATCCAGGAATCCCCCCACATTGTATAATGGCATGATTGCAGAATAATATTATGCATAACACATAATATTAATACTCAATACATAATAAACATCCTATCAGCAGGAGCTAGGAAGAAAGGGAGACATGAGGATATGGTACTGTGGCAAGCACAGAAACGTTAGTAATTTAACATTTTAATTGTGTTAAAAGGGAGAAGAAATGTATGTTTAGGGATAAAGCTGAGGGGGCAAAATAAGGCTCTTGTTACTGATCAGCTGATATGCTCTGTGCTCAGTTATTGGTCTGGAATGGAAAGGGCTGATCAGCTGCTGGCTCTCTTAAAGCTCTATATATTTGCAGACATGCCTATGCTCATAGCATCTTGATGGCCACAACCACTCAAACAGTCCTGATCAACCCCAGTTGCATTTTAAAGTGGAATCAGAAGAATTAAGGAACAGAAAGATTGGGCATCTGGAACTGCCCATGAACTTGATTATTTCCAAAGCTTCATTTGCACAATAGTGGATTTTGTTTAAATCAGCAAGCACTTGCTTTTTTTTTTTAGTATTGAATATGTAATCAAGTTACCAAATGCAAACAGTGTCTCATCTAGTTAGTTTTATTCCATAGGGATGGGCAAGTTGCAATTTCAGGGCCTCCTGGGCCCCTCAGTTCTCCTATGATTTTAATTGCCAGAAAGTGTCAGTTCTCTTTTACAGCAATTTGGGGCTAGAAAATAGATGAAAACTAATGAAAGCCTTAACATCAATTTAATTATTTAATTTAAAAGGCAAAGAAGAATAATTCATATCCCACCCACCCACCCAACTACCATCCATATGTGTCATCCACCTATGCCCTGGGGAACCATCAGCCTAGTTATTAGCAAATGAGGACTTTAGTGCACTTTTCCCAGCTTGAGACCATGGTGGGCAAGGATGCTGGGAATTATGGTCCAATATACAGGGGAGTACTGGGTTTGGAATGGCTAATCTAATTAGCTAAATCAGTTTAGATAAAGCGATTTGGATCATGAGATTGCATTATCCAGTTCCCTTAAGTGAGACAGAACCAAGAAGAAAATACTATACATTAAGCCAATTTGATATGTGCCAAGCAGACTCATTTACCAGAACAACTGGGCAGATCTGGGAAGGCAGCAAGATGTGGTCTTTGAGATGCCCACCGTCACATTCAGGTTTCACATGAGAGGCACATTTGTTGTGAAGCTTTAAAAAGAGAAAAAAACAGGGTCTGAGCACATACCAATGCTTACCTTCCCGCGTCCATCCATATCTGCTATCTACTTAATCCTCTATATTTTTCATTTACTTGTGATCAAGAAAATTGTGAAATCAGATTAGCAGAACATGCACTGTTTCTTTGATAAGATGACTTTTAGTCTCCAGTGTTGCAGAAAAGCTATGCTTTCCATTGGGAGAGTTAATTCCTTAAGGAGAAAACTAATGAGAAGCTAAAGTAAAGTATGATTCTCTTTGTGCCAAAATGAAGAGGGGAGGCTGTGGAAGTAGCATTGGACTTGCAGAAATGAAGGATTCAGGCTTCTCACCAGGCTCATCTGTAAATATTGTCTCCCCAGATGCTAAACCCTTAATTCATGAATTGGTTTCCTCAGCAGATGGCTGACAGATGTGATTCAGCTTCATTAGTCCATTTATTGCAGACAAGAATAAGGCCATGTACATGCAGAAATTTGCCCACTGCAGCATGCAGAAGTCAACCCCTTTCTGTATGTCTATATATCAGCATTTAACTTTTAGGGGCTTTTTTCATAACAAATACCTGGATGTTCTTTTGATGGCCTTGGGAGGCACCTGATGTATGTTGACATAACAGTTCTCTCTAGCCTGGGAACTGCTGGTTCTTGTCAATTTCATTCCTTATGACACCTCCTTTCCTATTTTCTCCTTCCCCTTTCTCACTTGAGTTTGGCGATCTTAGATTCTTTTCCCTCCCCTTTCTTTTGGTCATGAGTGACTAGACAGCAAGGTGCCTCCCCTCCATTTCCATTTATTTGACAGCTGGAGTTGACAAGATCTCTCCTCTTTCGGCCTCTCCATTCCTCTTTCCTCCAGGAAGGGCGAAATTTCCATTTCTTTTGCAGCTGAAGCTGGTGATACTTCTCCTCTTCTGGGCTTCTCTACCTCTTCCTCCTCCTGACATCAGATAGCAGGAAGGAAATATTTCTCTCTTCTATTTTTACATTAGGAACTCCCCCCAATATTTCAGAACCCCCTTCTTAATAAGAGGCAGTATCAGCAAACGTATGGTAAAAATGAGCCAAGCCAAGAAAATGGTATATGTTCCTCATTTAGTGTGTGTGTGAGGTGGGGGTGGGGAGCTCCCAAGACAGAATGGATTCTACTTTAGCTGGAGCCATCTGAATTTTTTTTTCAAAGAAATATGGTAACTTAAATAACCCAACATAGGCAAATCAAAGGTGCTTTTCTCTGACTTAGTGTAGAGGCTGTAGCCACAGTGAATTGCTTGAGCCTGATCAATGTGGAGAGTGAGATTCTCAGAGTAAATCAGCAAATCATCTACATACACAATCAAAATGTGTCCAAAAATCATGCAAAACACTTTTCATAGATCTTTAAAAGACTAAGGTGCTGCAAATATATGCTAAGCTACATGGCTTCCCAAAGAGTCAAACTTCCCATAACAAATACCAAAGGCAGTTATATATGTGTGCCCCTCTTTTGTACAAATCAGATTGGAAGCCCTCTGAGATGACATTGGGAGAAATGTATGCCTTCTGTCTCTAATCTAAGAGTCCAGAAATGAGGGGAAAAGGGAAATGATTGCAATGGCTCAAGAATTCAGGAGCTGTTAATAAGGAGACATCATTCTTCTTGATCCGAAAAGTAGGAGACCTGGCAGGGGAGGAGGAGGGGTGGATAAAGTCTTTTTAAAACTTCTTGTTGATAAATTTCTTCAGACAGGCTAACTGATATTAGATAGTGGTATGTTGTAGACACTCGTGATGGTTGCCACTGATGAATTATAGAGGTTCACTTCACTTTTATGAACTGGACATCAATAGTCTCAACTCAAATATGGGATTTGACAAGTTGATAGGCATATCATATTTATGTTCAATAAAGGGTTCAGTAAATTTGCCCATGACACTTTTACTAAGGCTTGCAGTTGTATTTCAGGGCCAGCCTGAGTCTGTAAGATTTACTAAATTGCAATGCATAGTTCCACATATCTGGATTTGGTTCCCCCCCCCCCCCCCCCCCGGGTTGCTCCAATCTCCGAGCCTTTGGAGACTGGAACCACCTTCCTTTTGAAAAACTGAGATTTGGAATATTTATGACATCTGCTTACAAATTGTGCCCCCACTTCTCCTGAAGTAGAACATTTGGTTGATACTTCAGAAGTATAGATGGAAAGGGAAGATGTGACTATTTTTCGTTTCCTTTGGTATCAACGTTTGGTTGATACTTCAGAAGTGGGAAGGGGGTCTTTACAGGATACTCACATGCAAAGGGGCAGTTCTCCACAATATGGGCATAGGCCCTGTGTATTTTGGTACAAATTTTCTTGAGCAGATAGTGGAACTCTGCTAGTCCCAGATGCATGGGTTTATTTTTATTTATTTATTTTATTGGATTTGTTAAGGCTGCCCAACTCCAAGATTACTCTGGGTGGTGTGCAATAACTTCAAAACGTATGTTAAAAACACAACTGAAAACCACATGACTACCCAGACCCAAACAACACTCTCCAACAGTTTTAAATTTGGTTCATTTTTCAGAGTCTCAGATTTAGTAATTTATCAAATTTGTACCTGCACAATCCCAGCAAACCAGCTTGATAGGTGGAGGGGGAAGAAAGGAAAGGAAAAATAGTCACATCTTCCCTTTCCATCTATACTTTGCCATAATTCCATGAGTCTTCCATCAGTACCTAAACAAACCTGGATTAATGCTGCTATGGTCTTAGAAGTGCTTGGATAAGTAAATTCATCACATATTTCATCTGATACTCCCCCTTTCAATTGACCATTTAAGCTTCTTTCATTCCAGCCACATTCTAAAGTAATAGCTGAAATTCAGCAGTATACTCCCATATCAAATGTTTACCCTGTTACAGGCAATACATTTCATGGTTGGCAAGTCACTTACTTAACCAAATCCTCAAAGTTAGCTGTCAGGTGTGTCCCCAATTAAAGTCCAAGTCAGATTGGTTCTAAATCAAAAAGAGGTTTGCTCATTTTATAGCTCCTTCAGTCATTAGGTCAATTATAAATCCTGTAAGGGTTTGGTTGGTGGGAAAGTCATCAGATTTCAGGGAGATATTTAATTCACATTGAGCAAGAAAGACAGTAAATTACTTGGAATATTTGTTACTTGAAGAAGCAGGTACACACTACTGGAGAGCTGCTCCAGCAATGTCTCCAGGGTTTGGGGCTAAACTGGTACAAGGACAACCAGTTTGTAGTAAATTCTGTCCCACCTGCTGGACTAGTTGGTTAATTGTGTGGGCTAACTAATCCATCTGGGTTGCTACCTGGTTCTGATACTGGAGCAAGATAATTGATGGTTAATGGGGTTGCCTGAAGATCTTGCTTAATCCTTGGTCTCTGGGGAAGTCGCTCCTTCCATAGTGATGAGAATAGGAGTAGGCAAAACCAGGTATTAGTTTTCTCACCTTGGTTGGCTGTAAATCTCACATCTCTGGATGCTTAACCTCTTATTGAGAGATTGGCTTATATGGCTTGGATTAACTCTCTTTATTGCAAACAACAATGAGGCCATCCTTGGACGCAGCCATGCTAGATAAATTTAATCCAATCTCCAACCTTCCCTTTTGGGGGAAGGTTGTTGAGAGGGTGGTTGGCATGATGTAGCTTCAGAGAGCCCTGGATGAAGTGGATTATCTGGATTCTTTTCAGTCTGGTTCAGGCTGGAGTATAGCCCTGAAGCAGCATTGGTCACACTTGCTGATGATCTTTGGAGGGCTCAGGATGGGGTGTTGCAACTGTCCCGGCTCTCCTGGATCTCTCAGTGGCTTTCAATATTATCAAGCATGGTATCCTTCTGGACTAACTCTGGGGGTTGGAAGTGGGAGGCACCACTTTGTGGTGGTTCTCCTCCTTTGTCCATGGCCAGTTTCAGTTGGTGTTGGTGGCGGGGAGAGAAGTTGAGCCCTAGGCTGCTGTGGTATTGGGTACCTCAGGGCTTAGGTCTCTCCCCTCTCCTTTTTAACATCCACATAAAGCTGCTGGATGAGGTCATCCAACCACACAGGGTGCAGTATCATCAGTACACAGATGATACTCAATTATACACCTCCACTCCTGGCCAGGCATGTGATGCTGTTGCAGTGCTGACCAAGTGCCTGGAGGCTGTGAGGGTCTGGACTTCAGCTCAACCCTGGCAAGACAGAGTGGTTCTGGGTTTTTGGCCCCCTAGGGTCTGGTGATTTGTCATCATTGACTCTGGATAGGGTTGCACTTCCCCAGACTGAGCTGGTGCACAATTTGGGGGTCCTCCTGGACTCTCAGGTCCTGCTGAATGAGCAGGTGGCAGCCGTGGCTAGGGGGTCCTTTGCACAGATCTTTTTGCACAGATCAATTGCGCCCTTTCCTGGACTGGAGGCCTTGCTCACAGTCACTCATGCCTTAGTAACTTCCTGTTTGGATTACTGCAATGCGCTTTATGTGGGGCTGCCCTTGAAGACCACTCAGAAGCTACAGCTGGTCAGGCATGCAGTGGCACGCACAGTACTAAGTGTTCCTAGGTTTGCCCATGTTATACCTCTGTTGTGCAAGCGGCACTGGCTCCCAGTTTTCTTCTGGGTGCAATTCAAGGTGCTGGTTATCACCTTTAAAACCTTACATGGCATGGGACCTGGTTATTGGTGGGACCACTTCTTCCTAAGAATATCTGCCCATGTCACTAGATCAGATAGGGAATGCTGCAGATCCCTTCCCTGAAATCCTGCCACCCATTGGAACCTCAGAAGCATGTCTTCTCTGTGGCTGCCCCTACCTTATGGAACACCTGCCTCCTGGCGATTTGGCAAGCCCCCACCCTTTTAACCTTTTGGAAGGCCATCAAGACCTGGTGTTCTACCTAGGTGCTGGGATAGAATAGAATAGATAGAATGGACTGTTGGAGCTGGCTGTGGGGCTCCCAAGGGGATGATTAAGGTGCTGGTGTTTTTATGTTTCTGGTTTCTGGTTTTATGGTTTCTGGTTGTTTTATAGCTATTGGGTTTTACTGCTGTTATGAGCTGTCTAGAGTTGTTTAAGATGGGTGGCCATACAATTTTTTTAAATAAATAAATAAAGCCTTATATACACATTTGCCACACATAAATCAAAGCCTTTACATAGGTCTATGCTCAAGGGTAATTTTAGGCTTTTTCTTCCTGGCAACGTATTTTTCAGTCAAGAATCTTGACAGCCTTGGGAGGTACCTACCCTATGTTGATTAATGGTTCTTTTTAGTTGAGAGCTCCTGGTTCACCAGATTTATTCTTTTATACCAGGGCCCAAATCATATTTTCCATCTCTGTGTATTTCAGCATATCCAAACAAGCATTGCTTTGGACAGGGAGAATAGTCAAAAGCACTTGGATATGCAACATTTTTCAAACCAAGAGCTGTACAGTGTTTAAGTGGCATGTTGAGAACCACCCAGGGCCAAGACAACAAGCAGATGGGACCAAAACATGATTAAATTTGATTTAATTAAGTTGAAATTTTTAAATGATGACAAATTGATGTCACCCCCATTACATTGACCAGACAAGGAAATCAAGTCCATATTAAGGCTAAAACTACTTTTATTGAAGTAGGGTACAATAACAAAATCTTGCAAGTTGGATTGGGCTGTACTGCCTCATCTTCTTTCTTATAGTTCAGTGAATTAGCAGGGTGTCTGTCTGAGCCACTTCCAAATGTTATCTCATTGTTCTGGACTTTAAAAATGTTTCAGCCCCTTCTGACTAGGTAACAGTTCCTGCATATCTCCATCAAAATCATCTTCCTTACTCTGTACTCCAGTTATAGTTGACATGATTATTTCCCATGTATTTAATGATTCCCTCCTCTATCACATTAAAGATTACAGTTTGCTGGTAACTTTTGGGAGAAGCTCTGGGGACAACATTCAGAGATTTGGGAAGGGGCTATATATATCCCTTGTGCCTCAGGTTATGCTCTTCTGCTGTAAATAGCTTGGGCTGTGAAATTGTTTTTTTTTTCCTTCAAAGAACTGCTCTGAATTCTTTGGAAAAGGAGCAGAGCTTAAATGAAAACACCAATAAAATCAATAAACCAATAAATCATGTTTTTAAACTGCTCTGTTATTCCTGCTTTAATATCTGCAGGTCTGACAAACTTCTCTACTTGTCATTGCACTTGAGGGGGATGTAATACCATTTACCACACATGATAACAATGAAATGTCCCCAAATATCAGAAACGATACCTCCTACATCCTTTATTTTTGTGCTACAGTGGTGCTTATGGGAGGCCAATCACAATAGTTGCAATGTGAGTAATATCATCATCAGATCCTGGATGTGTTCCTTGAGACAGCCAGTCTTGCCTCTGAAACCTCCTGAAGATACATTGTCAACCTTCCTTTTCACAAAGATTTACTCCACACATGTCAGAATCAGGTTCATAAAAGAGGTGATGGATAATGGCATGACTGCCGAACTGCAATATTTTCAGCATTTATGGTTTCTCCATAATTTGAATAATGGCCATTTTTGTGATTGGGAGAGGAAACTAGGAATGGAAGATGAACCTTTGTTTCTTACAGACATGCCACAAAATTATTAACTTAAATGTGGTGTTGCTTGCCAAGACATGTAACAACTTGTCTTGAATAAGGCAGCTTTCCATACTCTTTGGTAAAAATAAGACCACATTCTCTTCACGTACTCACTGTGATTTGGCACCATACACAATGTAGTCCGGTAATTCCCTGGTAGCATTTGATGCTTTTATGACATCGATCACACTTGGCTGGGGAATTGCCCTCAATCCATGTGTGCTGCATAACCTAGAAATGCATAATATATACTTAAACATAAACTCAGGTGCTAAATGAGACTGTGAGGAAAAGAGAGAAAATGAAGAATCCAGAACATGCATCACAATCATCTCAGTTCAAATAGTTCAGGATATTTTTTGAAGGCTGATAGAAATGGAGGATTGTGCAAATTTAGGGAAGTTCTTATGTATAGCGATCTTCAGTTTAGGGAACAGTTTTGTCTGATTACTGGGTATTTCTATACAGTTATGAAAACAAAAACGGTTGAAGGCTTAACTTATAATGTGCATACCTTTGAGAGCAGCACATGAGCAGCATTGTATACCTATATGCACACACCATAAATAACTGCCTCTCTCACTGCCTGTTTCTAACCTATGGCCTCAGTGTTTGATTCAAAACCCAAGTTTCAGTTTGGTTCCTGTGCTAACTGCAACTCTGACTTGTTTTTGCATTAGAGAGCATACTGTCTGAATCTTAACTCAGTTACAATTTCAGCACAGGCTTTAATTTATCTAGTTGTACCTATTAATACTGTTGATGTAGTAAATGGAGTTTAGTTGATGTAAATTATGTAATTGATGGTGCTATAATTCAGATTTCAGTTTTAAAAATACAGAAATTTCTTGCAAGGGAATGACCCTGTGATGTTTTGCTGCTGGGCATCTGCTTACATAGCTTACTCTGAAGATGAGAAGATCTGGAAGGCAGTATTTTTGTGGACCTACTTTATATTAAATGCATATACTGATTTTCATTAAACAAAATATTTAAGGCAACAAGAATTAAACTGAGTTAAAAAGAACATATTATCATCTGGCAAATAAAAAATAATCCTATATCTGTAAATCCTGGCCAAAATGTAGAGTCCTACATGTGAGACTGTTATTTATCTATTATATCAAAAGCATATCAGTTAATTGGTTGCCTGCAAAACAGAGGTCTCTTGTACTAAAACAGCATTTGAAGCAGCATTACAATGACTGTGTGGACTGCATGTTCTACATACAGATGGCATAGAACACATGGCAGATAATCAATTAGTGAACACATAGCACTGATCTCCCATATATGCCTCACTTACATTTGTATTTCTCTTGGATTTTACATAAGTACTGATGCAAGGAGCAATATCTTTGGACACACATCTTTCATGGACAGTGTATTTACAAACTGTGGAAAAGAAAGAAAAAGAGAGAGCCATTCTAAATTCACCCTGTATTCAGGACAAACAGTTTCCAGCTACTTCCAGAGACTAGTTGTTAAAATATATATTCTATGTATGCAACTGTATATACAATTTCTGAAAAAAGTCCCAAATGAGTAAGCTGTTGTCTTAATCCATGATGGTAGATTCACCTTAGGACATTTGGTATTGAGAAGGCATTGATTACACTTATGGATGACCTCTGGCTGACTAGGGACAGTGGTGGTGCATCTGTCCTAGCCCTCCTTGAACTTTCAGCAAACTTTTATACCATCAAATACAATATCATTCTGGAATAGCTTAAGGGGTTGGGACTGGTACTGTGGTGGTTCTTCTCCTTCCTCCTTCCAGAGGGAGAGGTTGAGCCCTAGACTTCTGCCCTGTGGATTGCCTCAGGGCTTGACTCTCTTATCATTCCTGTTTAACATCTACATGGTGGTGTTGGATGAGGTCATTCGTCAGCATGGGGTTTACAATCAATATGCTGATATACTTAGTTATATATCTCTGCCCTGGGCCATTCAACTGATGCCATCAAGGTTCTTTCCGAGTGCTTGGAGACTGTGAGGGTCTGGATGAGAAAGAATGTAACCCTATAAAGATCAAGTGGCTGTGGGTTTCAGCCCCTCCCCTAAGATCTGGAGATTTTCCATAACTCTAGTTAAAGACAGAGCTAGTGTGCAATTTGGGGGTCCTCCTGGACTTGGCAGCCATAGCCAGGAGAGCCTTTGGACAAATCCATGTTGTACACCAATTGCACTTGTACCTGGATCAGGATGCTCTGCTCATGGTCATTCATGCCTTAGTCACTTCTTGGTTGGACTACTGCAACACTCTACATGGAGCAACCCTTGAAAAGCATTCAGAAGCTGGTCCAGAAGGGAGTTGTGCATTCAGTTTTGGGCACACCTAGATACATTCACATAACACAACTGCTGTGTGAGCTCTGTTGGCTCCTAGTAGGCTTCTTGGTGCAATTCAAGGTCTTGTCATCTTTCAAGCCCTGTATGGTATAGGGCCAGGTTACTGTGGGACTGCCCCTCTCCAATTACTTCTGCCTGTCCCACCAGATCTGCAGACTGGGCACATTCTAGGTCCTACTGGAACTCAGGAGGTGTGTTTTCTAAGTCACAGTACCTGCCCTTTGGTACAGCTTCCCCATGAGGTCCATCGAGATGGCCCTGAACCTGTTGAACCTCTGGAAGACCTTGAAGCACTGGGGCCCAGATGTTAGTGGAGTCCAATATGTGTGTTTGTTTTGTGAGAAGCCTTAGTTAATTTTCATTATGTCTTGCCTTATGGCTTTTATATTGTGTCATTTTATGTATTTGTTAGCTTCCCAGAGTTATTAGTTTAAGATGGGCAGACATATAAATTCTTTAAACAAAGAAACAAATAAATTCATGAAGATTTCACACCCAACTGAGCAAAAAACTCACTGACACTTTGCCCATGTTATCTTCTGAACCTCAGTTCCCATAGGTTAAATTTTGAAAGCGATGCATTAACAGATGTCATCTTTATTCAATTACTCTAAATTGTGTCCTATTGAATCCAGTGGGGCCTACTTCTCAGTAGACATCTATAGGATCCCATCGTAACATTTTAAAATTTTGTCCCAAGGGTTGGCTTCCAGGCTGTCTTCTTTCAGATGGCAACGGAGGACATGCCTTGTCACCTAGGCATTTGTAAAATAATAACCTATTTCAGTATTGGACTGTTGTTTGATTGCCTCTTATAATACTTTTCTTTTTAAAAATCAACTTGTTTTAGTCTTTGGAACTGTTCAGTGCCATCAAAGCAATACTGATGAATTTCTTCATCAGCGTTGGAAATAGGAAGCTCTTAGAGTACATGATTTTCAGCTTTTTAGGTAGATCCATCCAAATCCTAGAAAAGACAATTCACTCTGAGTTGTTACTTTAGTTGTCTTGAAAGCAGATCCTCTGATTCTCCAATACAAATGGTGTACACTTAGAAAAATATCAAGCTTCCCTTGAGAGAGGAACCTACTAGAAATATTGAAGCCTTACTACCTCTGTTTTAAAATTAAACAGCAACTAAATTAGGAAATCCTTTCTCCATCCCTGTGGGGAACTGTGACATGACTCTTCCCAACTGACATGCAGGTAACCTTACTAGCCCTGTTTATGATACACCTGCAGGGACTTACAGGAACAGCACAAGCCTTGCTTCCTAACCCCCAGTAGCATAGTGCGGCAAAAGTTGCAGTAGGCAGGCTTCTTGAAATGTTTCAGCCTCCAAGCGTGCTGCCCATCATCCTTTACATTCTGTAGGGATTTAAAAAAAAAAAGCTCACTTAAACTTAGCAGAGAAGAATCAGTATGACAGGTGTCTACCTGGGTAGAATCACAGAAATCTGCATTTCACACAGTTATCAATATTATCTCATCATAATGTGAACTAGGCCCTAGTCAGAACTATAGAAAACATTCATCAGCTTTCCTCACACAGACATTTTGCACTCTTGATGAACTTAGCCGGCATATCGACCATCTGTAAATGATTGTCTGAATTAACCTATGTTATAGTCTTGCTAGCTTCCCATCATTTTTTGAAGAAGAATTTTTAAAAATTAAACTTTTACTACCATGCAAGAAAATAATCTAAGACTCATGGTAAATAATTATCTAGGGTCTAAATTAGCCTCTTTCAACTTGATTTTCTCCTGATGTATATTTCTATCATCTCCAAACAACAACTGTTCTGATTGGAGATTCAGTCTGATTACAGTGGGTAAGTCAGTCAGTCAGTCAGTCAGTCAGTCAGTCAGTCAGTCAGTCAGTCAAAACAGCCATAGTCCAACACTTTTGGCTACCACTTTGGGGAAACTGGTCTAAGGACCTTGAATACCCTAATGGAATCTAAAACTGTAAATATGTTTTTTTCCCCTCAGCAATTGGTATAGCATGGTATAATTATAATTATCTGCAATGGATGCTAGGCTTTCTTTTTTGTGGGGAGGGGGTGTTCCTGCAGTCTCTGACAGATACAAAAGATGAATGCGTGTCCTATGAGCAGCAGCACCTTTATCATAATTACTGAAAAAGCAAGCGCCTGATTTGGAGAAGAGTGAGTCAACATGATTCCATGAATTCCATTACAGTAAAAGGTACTCCAGAACCCTTTATTACTAATATCTGTATTATATGATTTCAAATATTCTCTTTTGCATAATTATGTTGGCTAGCTTCTCCATCTGGGATATAATGATATGCATTCACAGCAAGAAATCTAATCTCTTATCTACAGTCTCTTACAGAGGCGCAAAACAGAAGCATTTCTTTACTGTGGAATGCATCTTGATCTATCTTTTTCTAAACATTTAGCTTAGGGATTCCTACTCTGAGCCAGATAAATCCTGTCAGGCAAGTGCCAAAGTTGTATCAGCAAGCTTCATGGAGGTGGCTTTCAGCAACTGCATTACACAATCTCCAGTTTATTTTTCCCTTTATTTTGCATTTTCACTTTCTTATTTTATTTTGTATTTTCACTCATTTGCAAAAAGACCACAAACAATACTCCACAAGGACAATTAAAGCAAAGCCTTCTAAATGAGACTCATTAAAGTTAGTCCAGAAAGTTATAAAATTAGGTAGAATCCACCAATTCCAGTCAAAGAGACAAGTATAAGGTACTGTAGACATTGAATCAGATCAGTTGTTTCCAAAGGAACAAATAGCCTTTTAGAGGCATCTAATTAGATATCCTCTATGTGGCCAGGTAAGGTAGGAAGTGACATGCTACCAAAGTGTTGAAAGAAAAGAAAGTAGCAACCACTCAGAATATCCTGATTGGGAAATGTATGAAATATAGAATTCACAATTTTTGAAATGTATAGAACCTTATACAGGAATATTATACCAGATTTGCTGCTCTATACCAAAATACGCTGCTTATTTTCTAAGAAGTAATGTACTGGATCAAAAAAAAAAAAAAGGACCATACGTAGTCTAAGATTATTGTCCCACAATAGTCAACAATGCTTATTGAAAACTCACAAAGAGAACTTGAACACATTAACATCCACCTACTCATGTTCCTCAGCAACTGACATTCAGAGGCATATTGCCTCTGGTTCTACATAACTGTAATTACTAGGGATGATGACTAATACCCTTATTTTTCAAGAGGTGTAGACTTAGAATTAGAAAATATATTTTCCTATGTATATTTCAATCTGTCCTGTTCTACCTTCAGCTGCTAAAGTTGGGATTCCTGAATTATGAGATTACAGAAGTGGAACTGAGTAAATGGCTCCTACTGTCAGTGTACCAGGCAATATTGGTCCCAGGAATTAGAAAGGTTGCTTGTACTGTATGTCTAAATTAGTGTTTCTCAACCTTGGCAACTTTAAGATGTGTGGATTTCAACTCCCAGAATTCTAGGAGTTGAAGTCCACACTTAAAGTTGCCAAGGCTGAGAAACACTGGTCTAAAGAATCAAGGGCAGATGGAGGAGGATTGTCACCCTTGGTGAAATGGATTCCAGTTCCATAGCACCATAATATAACGTGACAAACAATCCACAATTAATACTATGTCATTAGATTTAACTTGAATCTAATTAAAGATATCTAGATTGGCTTCCTTCACTTTTTTGGTGCAAGTTTGGTTAACTGTTAATACAATCCTTGAACACTGTGCAGACAGTAAAGGTTTTCTTAGTGTGTATGGTTAAAAAGGAAGCTGAGAATCTGAATTTTGGGATACTGGCACCCTCAGGTGGTCAGACCCTTTAAAGATTCTAAGAAGCTGTGTGTACAGTATACAAGTGAATGTTCATTGGAAGCTCCTTTACTTCCCACTGTACTATGCAGCAGTCTGCTTTATCCCTTAGAGGGAGACCTATCCCAAACATGCATATTATTTGTTATATACTTGATGTCAAAAGCAGTAAGTTAAATTTTTCTGTTTCTGAGAGTAAAAGTCAAATAAATAAATAAATGACTGTCTTGCAATGTACATTTCTTTAGTCTTCTCCTCATATTCCATCAAGCAATACAAATGTTAATAAAAATAATTACACATAATGAAAAATTACAATTGAACATAATGATAAATTACAATTAAATTATTGGTAAAAATGATCATACTTATTTTTTCTACTTTTCTTGTAAGTAGATTCAGATTGATCATATCTAATTTCCTTCAGAAGGTCCCATTCTGTACAGCACCTTTCCTCAACTTAATTTCTGTAATTGTTTCCTGGTTTCCTGTAATTGTTTCCTGTAATTGTTTAAGGTATTGGTGCTAATTTTTAAAACTATAAACAGTTTGAAGTTTGATTATCTGAGAGATTTCCTTTCCTATTACAAACCTTTCTAGATGCGAAGTTCTACATAAGAGGCCCTTCAGAAGATCACTTGCTTTCAAAGGCCCATTCATTCAGTATGCAGGAGAAGACCTTCAGCTGCATTGCTCCTAGTTGTGGAATGTCCACCTTTAGAATTGTATTTGACTCTTTTTGTCATATATATATAATTTTTCTCTCATATATATATATTTCTCTCATATATAAATATGTTGTTGTTGTTGTTTAGTCGTTAAGTCGTGTCCGACTCTTCGTGACCCCATGAACC